CTTCCCCATAGATGATAAGGAAGTAATAATGAGAAGTATTCTGGTGAACTGTTACTTGAGAAATATTCTGTTGAACTGTTACTTGAGAAGTATTCTGTTAAACTGTTACGTGCGACTTGCTCCTGGGTGTTAGTCGACGTGCACCTGGGTGTTAGTCGACAGGTACCTGGGTGTTAGTTGACCCGCACCTGGGTGTTAGTCGACCTGCACCTGGTTGTTAGTCGGCCTGCGCCTGGGTGTTAGTCGACCTGCACATGGGTTTTAGTCGACCTGCTCCTTGGTGTTAGTCGACGTGCATCTAGGTGTTGGTCGACCTGCACCTGGTTGTTAGTCGACCTGCACCTGGGTGTTAGTCGACCTGCACCTGGTTGTTAGTCGACCTGCACCTGGGTGTTAGTCGACCTTCACCTGGGTGTTAGTCGACAGGTACCTGGATGTTAGTCGACCTGCACCTGGGTGTTAGTCGACCTGCACCTGGGTGTTAGTCGACCTGCGCGTGGGTGTTAGTCGACCTGCACTTGGGTGTTAGTCAACAGGTATCTGAGTGTTAGTTGACCTTCACCTGGGTGTTAGTCGACAGGTATCTGGGTGTTAGTCGACCTGCACCTGGGTGTTAGTAGGCTGTTGTAGGTTATATCTTAGTGAAGGACAGGAATGGAAATTAATCACACTACCTGGGTTACTTGGGTTATCCCAGGTTAATAATTTTTCAGGGCTATCCTGGGTTAATAATTCTCCAAGGTTATTCTGGATTAATAACCCTCGAAGGTTATCCTGGGTTAATAACCATCCTGGGTTATCCTGGGTTAATAAGCCTTCAGGGTTATCCTGGGTTGATAACCCTTCAGAATTATCCTGGGTTATCTCCAGGGTTATCATGGGCTTATAACCCTCCATGGTTATCCTGGGTCAATAAGCCTCCAGGGTTATTCTGGGTTGATATCCCTCCAGGGTTATCCTTGGCTAGTATCCCAGCGTGACGTGTGTGTCTCAGAGAATATATGCGGAGAATTTATTTTATTCTCAATTGTAGGGATTAAAATAGTCTTGGCTGGTGGTAAACAGGTGACATGCTACATTAAATGGAGTCGATAGGCTTTAAACCCCGTTAACCACTCGACTTACAGGTCTGGGGCTCTTTAAATGGGAGAGCTCTGGGTGCAAAGATCATGGCGTTCCTCTGTGCTCCTTCATCTCTGTCTGATGTCATATTTTCTTGGAACTTATCCTGTACTGAATATTTATGGGGTTCTTGTGCTTTTCCTCGTATTATTATTATTATTATTATTATTGTTATTATTAGTATTACTACTACTACTACTACTACTACTACTACTACTACTACTACTACTACTACTACTACTACTACTACTACTACTACTACTACTACTACTATTAACTCGTGTGGGTCATTCCAACAAGAAGGTTTGCGGGGATTCGATCCTCCGTTCAGTAATCGCGAAGATAGACACGCTAAATTCACTCACTCATTTCTGAAGGCTTTGAGGTATTGCTGACAACTGTTGTGTAGCTGTTCCTCTACATACTGCCTCGTGTGCTTCGTCTGACACATGCATCGCTCCTTCTTCAACTCCTTCCATCCTCACAGAAAGGAGTTAACAATGGTCTTCATATATAGAATGTCGTCAGCCCATTGGATGGTTGGTTAATATGTTTTAAAAGCTATCAGCTACACGTCTGTTACCGGTTTACACTCTTAACCTCTAAAACTGGAATTAAAGGGAACTCTCGGCAAATACTGTATACCTCTTACAATGTTTATTTATCATGTTACGTATATGATTTCTTTTATACATTAAATCTGAGTGCTGGTATTAGTGCACTGAAGGAGTAACTACATTATCCTGGGTATAATTCACTCGGTCTCAACGCTTCAAGTTCTCATCAAGACATTCATCCTAGAGGGATGAATGTCTTGATGCGAGTGAAAGGTTCTTGATCCAAGGATTATCATTTACCCTTCCCTTGCATATAACCAGCTGCTCTATGACCACCACTCTCTTAGATCTTTCCTAAAACCGTGGCTCCTGCGGGATTAATTCTTTTCGTGACAAGTAATAATAAATCTGTCTCCGTCACTGCATTAATGAGCACTGAGCCCCGGATCGCATATCAGGGCGCTATTAAACTTGATTAATACGACGTTGGTGCTGAAAGTGCTGCTCAGCGTCTAACGACTCTTTCTTTATTGTTTTTCTTTCGCACTTATTACCAGACCAAGAATGGACAAGTAGTATAGGTCGATATGTAATTATCAACTAAACAATGCTTTCAGAACTGACTATTCCGGTCCAGACGACCCTGTAGCAAGGCGAAGTACTATATACCTTAAAAGTGCTCACATTAAATCTATTACCGGATTAATTTTACATCAGTGGGACATCGATGATGCTCTGAAGAACAAGAGGCACAATACCGTGACTGGAACAAAACACAAATAACCTGCACATAGGAGAGAGAAGCTTACGACGACGTTTCGGTCCGACGTGGACCATTTACACGTAACACTGTTGCTCTGTTCCCACCAAGTGAAGTCTGGATTACTTAAATTACAAACTCTTGCCTGATAAATATATAGATAATTGCATTTACTCACGAATGCAAACTGATTAATAATTGTGCTTCAGGAAGTACCCAGATGTATTCCTGATGTTTTACTGTATCCGGTTTTTCAGTTACCGTTAAGCATCAATTTATTTAAGCAGGTGAGTAGTGTAATCTTTGATCAACAAACATGTACTTACGTTACAACAGATGGTATTCAGGTGGGGTTCAGTGAGCAGGATGTAAAGTGTGACTGATAAATGAGAGACATATGCTTTTCCTATATAAACCAGGGACAGGATGACGGTGACTCTACAGCGGAGTCAGTGAAAGAGATAGAGAGTTGCAGTAGTTGTAGACTGGGTCACAGGTGGGCGGGGCCCACTCGTGGAAGTAGGTCATGCCCATATGTGAATGATCATTCTATGATGTGCCAAGATGTGTTGCTTGTCAGACAAGCACCATTAGATGAATGGTATATAATACTGACATTTGATCATCAAGACGTATTGTAACATCTATGAACCTTACTTTGAGAGAGACACACAGACAGAGACAAAGAGAGACGTATGTAACACCTGGGTATCTTTACAGGAGACACAAGTACACCGCCTGGGTATCTTTACTGAAAAGACGCATAAACCATTCCATGTGCTTATTAGATGATATATACATTCAAATATTTCATCAAAGCCATCTTACGTCATCTTATTTATTGCGTGTATCCAACTTATATCTATCATGTTACTTATTGTATCTATCCAACATATAACTGTGTTCGTTACGTCTATCCAACTCATAACTGTCATGTTATTTACTGCTGAAAATTAGACACATGTGCAACATCTGGATATCTTTATTGTAGAAGTTTCGCCATCCAGTGGCTTTATCAATACAAATTCAAGGACATGATTGGAAGACAGAAGAACTTTATACAAAAGATGCGGTACTCAGTCCCTCAGCCTGGAGTTGATGTGAAGAACACCGTAGTCGTGAAGATTCTGGAGCACTGACAAGAAGGCTGGTGATTATATACTGTCGTGAGGTGGAAAGGGACGAGTAGCAGATAAGGGCATAGTCACTGGTAGGCGGGATGTCCCAGTGAAAGTAGATCATACCCAAGGGATGGGTTAGTAGTAGTAGTAGTAGTAGCCGTAAAGAAGGTTATGTAGATATCCTCTGAACCAAGATTCCATGATGTTGCGCTGTCTGACAAGTTGTACATGAATGGTATAAACAATACCACGAGCGGGGACAGAACCAGCTAGCTGGTCCAGTGGCTAACGCGACGGTCTGGAGTTTTGAGACTCTCTGATCGCAGGTTCTATCCCCGCCCGTGGTATGGTTTGTTTGCAATCGTGTCATTACGATTTCGTGAGTCATGAATGGTATAACTTTCGTCTTGTCGGTATTGTATACATTCATGTACATGTTATTGACTGCATCTATGCTTGTCGTAATACAGAGGTTATTTTCATGGATAACTGCAATATAAAGTTCAGTGATGAAACAGATATATGAACTAAGTTAGCTTGGGGTGGAAACGAGATTCTGGTTGGCAATGAGTTTGCGCCTCCAACATTATCATGAAGCGACCCGAGTGCGCCTTCCATCACTGATTGTTTCACTCGTCTGTAACCCTTATTCCCAAATCGGTGCTTTCATATAGTCTTTCTAAATCAGAGTTTATCCACATTGAATACATCGTTTCGATTTATTTCTTGGATAGACATCCTCGCCACCCTGCCTATCTCTTATTTAATTATACCTGTCTTCCACTTGTATACTATTTATACCTGTCTTCCACTTGTATATTATTTATTCCTGTCTTACACTTGTATACTTCAATCATATCTTTCCTCAGTCTACCCCTTTCAAGAGAGTGCAAAATTTACTTTTGTGCTGAATGGAGCCCAGTCACAGTGACTTAGTAGGTTATTATAGTTTAAATCTACACAACTTACCAATAAATAATAATGTATGCCGTACAAAATTTGTGCCTTCTGAGCCATAGTACAAATTTAAGACACTGTCTGTAAAGTCATTTGTTGGTTTAACGAATAACTTCTTATCAACACTGAAAGATATACACCGAGAGGTGTATATCTTTCTGTGTAGATACACAGGGAGTTTATTTTAATCTCTACTATATGATTACAATATTCTTGAATGGTGGTGAACAGATTATATGTAGCCTTCATGACTCTCTTGCTATCTGTAGGCTTGAAACACCTTGAATTAGCCAACCAAACCATCGTAGAACACGACTTGGGGTGAGTCACTTGCTTCTAAATCGAGGAAAAACTTAGCTCCGGTGGCCAGCGGAAGCTGAAAGCCTTACCGTGTTTGCATCTGGCAGAGATCCGTGTGAGAAGACACTGTTCAGTTTCGTGACTAATAAATTAGCAACATGTTTAAGCCATTTTTTCTTGCAGGTGAATTCTGGGGCGTGATGAACGATAACGGGTCTTGGTCTGGCATGATGGGTAGACTGTCCAGGAGTGAGGCAGACATCGGTGTTGCCAACTTATTCTTAACCTTGGATCGACTAGGAGCCGTTGATTACAGTGCTCCATATGATGCAGAGGTAGGGAGGGGGGGGGGTAAGATGTTCTCTTGGAGAAGGTGGCAAAGAGTGTAGTAGTAATAACAGTGATATTAGTAATAGTAATATTAGTGATAGTAGTAGCAGTATACCTAGATTATACCTGGAGAGGTTTCCAGGGGTCAGCGCCCCCGCGGCCCGGTCTGTGACCAGGCCTCATGGTGGATCAGGGCCTGATTAATCAGGCTGTTACTGTTGGCCGCACGCAACCCGACGTATGAACCATAGCACGGCTGGTCAGGCACTGACTTTAGGTGCCTGTCCAGTGCCTGCTTGAAGACAGCCAGGGGTCTATTGATAATCCCCATTATGTATGCTGGGATGCAGTTGAACAGTCTTGGGCCCCTGACACTTATTGTGTTGTTTCTTATCGTGCTAGTGGCGTCCCTGCTTTTCATTGGGGGGATGTTGCATCGTCTGCTGAGTCATTTGCTTTCATAGGGAGTGATTTTCGTGTGAAAGTTTTGTACTAATCCCTCTAGGATTTTCCAAGTGTATATAGTCATGTATATCTCCCGCCTGCGTTCTAGGGAGTACTGGTTAAGGAACTTCAAGCACTCCCAGTAATTGAGGTGTTTTATCTCAGTTATGTGTACCGTGAAGGTTCTCTGTACATTTTCTAGGTCAGCAATTTCACCTGCCTTGAAAGGTGCTGTTAGTGTGCAGCAATATTCCAGCCTAGATAGAACAAGCGACCTGAAGAGTGTAATCATGGGCTTGGCATCCCTAGTTTTGAAGGTTCTCATTATCCATCTTGTCATTTTTCTGGCAGATGCGATTAATACAATGTTATGGTCTTTGAAGGTGAGATCTGACATGATCACTCCCAGGTCTTTGACAGTAGTTCTTCGCTCTATTGTGTGGTTGGAATTTGTTTTATACTTCGATGTAGTTTTAATTTCCTCACGTTTTCCATATTGGAGTAATTGAAATTTCTCATCATTGAACTTCACATTGTTTTCTGCGGTTCAGTTGAAGATTTGGTTGATGTCCGCTAGGAGTCTTGCAGTGTCTTCAATGGAAGACACTGTCGTGCAAATTCGGTTGTCATCTGCAAAGGAAGACACAGCGCTGTGGCTTATATCCCTGTCTATGAGGATGAGAAACAAGATGGAAGCAAGTACTGTGCCTTGTGGAACAGAGCTTTTCACCGTAGCCGCCTCAGACTTTACTCTGTTCACTACTACTCTTTGTGTTCTATTTGTTAGGAAATTATAGATCCATCTTCCAACTTTTCATGTTATTTCTTTATCACACATTTTGTGCACTATGGCACCATGGTCACACTTGTCGTAGGCTTTTGCAAAGTCTTTGTATACTACTTCTGCATTCTGTTTGTCTTCTAGAGCATCCAAGACCTTGTCGTAGTGGTCCAGTAGTTGGGACAGACAGGAGCGACCTGCTCTAAACCCATGCTGTCCTGGGTTGTGTAACTGATGGGTATCTAGATGATTGGCGATCTTGCTTCTTAGGACCCTCCCCTCAAGGAAGGTTCCTTGATGTTGGTGAGGGGCTCTTGATTTAGGGAATTGGATCTGTGCTCCAGTTCCCCAAATTAAGCCTGAATGCCTTCCACATCCCCCCCCAGGCGCTGTATAATCCTCCGGGTTTAGCGCTTCCCCCTTGATTGTAATAATAATAATTCTTAGGACCCTTTCGAAGATTTTTAAGATATGGGACGTCAGTGCTATCGGTCTGTAGTTCTTTGCTATTGCTTTACTGTCCCCTTTGTGTGTAGTAGTAGTTGTGACAATTATTGAGAACTTTAACAATGTAAGTCACTCAGCACTCATAGTCATAAAAATATTAACAACACACAATAAAAACTGTAATAAAATTAACAAATAATAAAAGCAACGAGCATTAACACTAAATAATAAACAGTAACATACTAAGTTAAAATAACCAGCATTAATTAAAAAGTCAGTTAGTAGTAACAGGTGAGACATTTTGCGAGCAATTTGAATGACAAAAATCTGTGTATAATCAGGATAGATTCAAGTTAGGTCAGCATAGTTCCAATTTCTCGGATCAAGAACCCCTGCCACCGTAGAGACTTTATTGTTGCAGGTGAGTTGTTTCATGGTGCGCAGTGATCCACTAGCACCACGCTGGTTGTCGTTGGTGCTTCCCTTCCAGGGAGCGACGTGGGCGACGCTGGTGGGTGGGGTGGTCATCACCGGCCTCATCATCACCTTCCTTGCCTCCGTCGCGGCAAGATGGTAAGTACAAGCGATGTGAAGCGCTGGAGACTTGATCCTTCCAGACGGGAGTAGAGAGTGTCTCGCCCAGGTCATTGCGGCAACGCGGTATGCCAGGCTCTACTGTAACCTTGATAAGTGATGCCGACAAGTGGTTCAAAAAGACAAATGAGCTAACACTAGGATATATTAGAAAACGTTTCGGTCCTAGGACCTAGAAGTGATTAACGTCCCAGGACCGAAAACGTTTCCTAAAAGGTCCTAGTGCTTGCTCACGTTTAATTTTAAAACTCTTCTGTCCTAAGACACTACTGTGTGGTGATCCAGTATGATCCATTGGTTTTTATACGAACTAGAAAGTCTACCACCACATCTAATAATGTGATCTTTATTTTTTTTCCGAAGTGGACCGGTATGCTAACGAGACGTCAGTAATAGAACCAAAAATTTCTCTGAGTCATCATACGACTGAAATTCGCGTCAGGAGAAACATTTTTATTTCTCATAAAAATAAAAGATTCCCATTTTGTGAACTCAGTTAACCAATATATGGATGAAAAATGGCCAGATAAATAGAATAAATAAGCAGGGAGAGAGTTATCTTAGAATAACTGCGGTAAACAGTTACGATACTCAGTAGTAAGCAAGCAATAATTGTAATAAGGTAAACGCTTACGATACTCTCCAGTAAACATTTCTAAAGCTACTGGCTACCCTATGTATAACCTACCACACATGAGTATTTCTACATTTCATAAATATACCTCCGACCCATGAGTATATCTACATCCCTTCAGTAAAATTACATCCATATATTTTATTTACGACACATGAATATATTTGCTTTCCCTGAGTAGCCTCGTCCTATATCTGTATTCCATGAATATAACTACGTCCTATGAGTGTAACTACTTTACACGAATATGTACCCCTCAAGGAAGGTTCCTTGATGTTGGTGAGGGGCTCTTGATTTAGGGAATTGGATCTGTGCTCCAGTTCCCCGAATTAAGCCTGAATGCCTTCCACATCCCCCCCAGGCGCTGTATAATCCTCCGGGTTTAGCGCTTCCCCCTTGATTATAATAATAATAATACGAATATGTAATTACATTTCGTGAGTATTATTATTATTATTATAATCAAGGGGAAGCGCTAAACCCGGAGGATTATACAGCGCCTGGGGGGGGGGGATGTGGAAGGCATTCAGGCTTAATTCGGGGAACTGGAGCACAGATCCAATTCCCTAAATCAAGAGCCCCTCACCAACATCAAGGAACCTTCCTTGAGGGGCTTTCGTGAGTAAAATAACATCTCATACCCATCAATATGATTAATCTCTTTGAGTCTAACGGTATCACTTCTTCCTCTTCTCCAACAATAGCGGCGGAGGGGAGGTGAAGAACCTTAAGTCTCCGGTCTTTGCCTTCTTCTTTGCATTGAGCATGCACTTCAGGGATCCGCAAGCGGTGCTCCCCCGACGGATCCACATGCGAATCTTCATCAGCTTCCTTGGGCTCTACACCATCATCATCACCACAGCCTACTGTTCCAACCTCGCCGCCTTCCTCACTGTCACGCGTCCTCCTCAAGGGATGGACACCGTCAAGGAACTTCGCGACTCCGGCTTACAGATCGCTGGGCTAGGCGGGTTCTTCAAGGGTGCCCTGGCCTCCGCTGTCGATCCTTATCTTCAGGTAAGAACCTACTGAAGGATGCATTGATACTGGCAAAGGGCTCCTCATCAGCCTTACACACATTCATTTACCACGTACTCATTGAATACCCTGCACACAACCTGCACAGCACCCCAGCTCACCCAAAACTCCTGGGTATTAACCAAGCATATATATATACAACTTCAAACTCCCACGCTGTCATATCTACGAGTATACAAATTTTCCCCTCACTCAAAACGCTCATGCCTGAATGGAGCAACACATCAGTACACAAAGACTGCACCAAATACGTACTCTGCTGCATCATTACATAAATTCTTAGAAATTCCCTCTAGTTTTTTCTCCTTGATCATCCCTGCCCCACTACTATCTCTGCTGCTTCTCTTCTCACCCACTGCCACTATTAGAATACTCCCTTTATACATTATAACACACTTTATAAGATACCGTAGAATATACCCCTTATATTATAGAACACAACCTTTATATAATTACACACCACCCTTTAAATTATGGTACACTCGTGTATTTATAAAACAGACACTATTTATATGAGGGAAGAGACCCTTTATATGATAAACATACCCAGTATTCAATACACACTTTATATCATAGAACACACACTGTATATGATAAAAAAAACACCCTGTGTATGATAGATCACATCCTGTATATGAAAGAACACACCCTGTATGTGATAGAACACACCTTGTATATGATAGAACATCCTAAATATGCCAGAACACAGCTTTAATTGATAAACTGCACCAAATATGTAATCTCCTTTCCGAAACGCTTCCGTACTCCCATATCCTGACAGTGCGACTCCGCATCTCTGCCCTACAGAGTCTAGCGGAAAGGTTCGTTGCTTACCAGAACTTGGAGCTGGTGTGGCCCAAGCTGAGGAAGAGTAGGGCAGCCTATCTTCACAACCGTCAGTTTCTCGAGTTCGTCATCACTACCCAGTTCACCAAACAGGGCGTCACTAGTATGAGGATCATGAAGGTGAGCCATACCCAGTACAAGCCAGGACAAGGCACAAAGTCAAGGTACAGGTTAGGTGGTCAAGATTAACGCAAGTATTATATTGACTGGTTAAAACCGGAAACAGATTAGCATTGCCGTGCTTGCAAGGAACCATCTAGTATGCTTGTATATAGATTTTGAATCTGATAAACGTTCTTCATTGCACACACACACACACACACACACACACACGCAACAGGCCAAGTGTCTTAGTAGAAATTGCCTTGGACAAAATGGTAACTAACAACTACGTACGCTGACTTATATGCTTGGAACTATCGCCTTCAGATTTTTGGAAGGTCTGCATATGCCAGGGAATGTCATGTTCTGAACTGCACATGTTACTTAGATTGAAACATTCAAGATTGTAAAAATTTATAATGTTTGTAAAATAATTCTGTATAGTCCTTGTGGCTTAGCGCTTCTTTTTGATTATAATAATAATAATGTAAAATAATTGTCAGATTTTCCGAGTAAAGGTTATTTTTTTTTTACCGTAAAGCAAAGCGAATGGGACCAGTACTGTTAGACGCGTCCTTATTAGGAATGAAAATATTCACTAATGTATAAAACAGATGAGAGGAAAAAAAAATTGATGTGCGTCTTGCAGGAGTGTTTTGCCCCGTACAGCATCGCCATGGCTCTACAACGCCACTCACCACTCAAGACCAACTTCGACCGGGTCATCAGGTGGATGCTGGAGAGTGGTCTGGTGCGTCGGTGGTTCCTGCAGTCACTCAGACTCTCACGCACGGTAAGGAGGTTTTCCACTCCCACAGTAATGTATGGAAGAGTGATTGTGGAAACTTGTTAGAGCTTTTTTGATGTGAGGTGGGTAATACTGCGGGAACAGTTTAACTGAGGTGATAATCATAACCTCATAAATTTCTTGTAGGATAAAAATAGAAGAAACATCATCAAAACTTGTGTTACTCGTGTACAACAAGAAACACTTGTATCATTAGATCAAAGGTATTTAAAAAAGACAAGTTCGTGAATAAGACACAGGTCTTATTCATTAATGAGCAGACTTACTTGAGACGTGGGGACTCACTATCTTCAGTTAAAATCTTCCCAGCTGACTATTCCCTAGCAAGCTTACCCTTCTCTCCTTTCTTCTCTTAGTTTCTCTTAGAGTTTTAATTGGCTGGTACATCTTACTAAAAGGATGATGCCATTTAGGTTTACTTTGTGTAAATGGAAACTTGTCAAATTTCCTAGTTAGTAAGATTAGAAATGTTGGAATCAGTGATATAACTGGAGAATGAGTCTTCTGGTCGACCTCAAACTTAACATCTCGTTGATTATGGGTTGTGTAAGTTTTAATTTGAAAGTTTTATGGAGCAAATTGTTTTCTCTGCAATATCTTTAAAATGCCCCTTTTGATTGGCTTCAAACCTTAATTATTATAATCAATGTAAATACTAAAACTGTAAGGGTTATAAAGTGTTGCGAGAAGAGAAGTTTTGAAAGGAGGAATGTACAGTGGTTAAGAGTGAGTGTGCATAGGTAAGAATTAGTGCAAGAGTAAAATTGAAATCAAAGTAAGTGGTATAGGTTAGTTGTTAAAAAGAGTATCTATCTGCATCAAAGATACGACTTTCAGCGAGGAAGCAAATTTGAATGAGTGTGCTTAGGTTGTGTAGATGTCGGAGCTTCTGAGGTTAATCCTGCATTCCTGCTGATAGCTAGGAAAATCTATTAAGATATGGAGGGGTAACAGTGTTGACCTGACAGTCCTTGCAGAGTGGTGCTGGTCGTTTTTTCTGTGGTATCCAGGAGTGAGCCGCATGTATCCAATACATAAACGCCAAAGTGCAGTCTCTCAAAATCTATAGCAGTGGGAAAAAGATTGCCAGAACCCTAAACCTGATGTGACAGAAAACAATTTGATGTGGTCCAGCTTAGACTACCGTTGTTGCCAGTGGTTGTAGAGTTGTTGAGAGAGCACTGAAAAACAGTCCAAGAAAGGAATATTCTTGTGGAATATTCCTTTCCTGTGGAAAGTTGGAAAATACTGAATATCTGGCCAAGTGGCTAAGTATGCGTGTTAACTGAACTGAACATAGGCAGGTCCAGGGCACAAGCAATAACCGACTTCTTTGTATTTGCTAGAAATGTGACATAACCAAAGTTGATAAATTAGACACATGTGCAACACTTGGGTATTTTTATTGAGGAAACATTTCGCCACACAGTAGGTTCATCAGTCCTATACAAAGAAGAATGGTGAAGATCAGAAGGAGATTGAGATAATCAATCCCTTAGCCTGGATACGATGTATTCAGTACATCAGTATTGAAAAGATTAATGGACTAATTACATCAACATAGGTAGCTGGTTGTTAGTCGACTGGTGTGGGTCGCTTCCTGGGGACAAAATTGACCTAATTAGCCCGAAATACTCTGCATAAAAAGCGGCTTTCTATATAGTAGTATGTCACTGATGTCAGCTAGAACTGTATACATTGCACACGTACTTGTAAAATTAAAGATTATTATTATTATGATTATTATTATTATTATTATTATCATAATTATTATTATATTTATGATAATTGTACTTATGCTTAGTTGTACCTAAATAAACTTGCTTCTACCCGAAATGCACCGCATCTCAGTGGCTTTCTTTCATCCTAACGATATTATATTTCATGTAAACTGTACATTGCCTATATACTGCACAAAAGAAATAAATTATTTGCCTCAGCATTCGTTTCTGTACATTTGAGACAATTATTATAGTTGATCCTTTCCATTTTCTCTAACAGATACAAGACAAGAAAGCGAGTAATGAGGGAGACTCTTCTAAAAGTTCAGAGCCCTTAGATGCAGAAGAAGTGGCGTCGACAAGTGGTGTGATCCAGCCACTGGGCATCCAGCACATGCAGGGACTCTTCTTCATATTGATCATCGGATACTTATGTTCGCTACTTGTTTTTCTTCTCGAAAATTGCTTTAAGAAGCTATATACTGATTTTTTTGGGGCGAAAAATAAGCAAAATGCTGTAATACGGGGAAATTAAGTTTGCGGACATCGACCATTTGCCACTGCTTTAACATGAAATATTATACATATAATATATATATATATATATATATATATATATATATATATATATATATATATATATATATATATATATATATATATATATATATTTATTTATTTATTTATTTAATGTGTGTGTCTATAATAATAATAATAATATCTTTATTTACTACAAGTACACGTACAAGGTATACAGTCCTAGCTGACAACAATGACATACTACTATATAGAAACTCCCTTGTTATGCTCCGCATTTCGGGCACATTAGGTCAGTGTCCCAGGATGCGACCCACACCAGTCGACTAACACCCAGGTACCCATTTTACTGATGGGGAACATAGACAACAGGTGGAAAGAAACACGTCCAATGTTTCTACTCTGGCTGGGAATCGAACCCAGGCCCTCGCCGTGTGAAGCGAGAGCGTTAGCCACCAGGGCTTGAGCCAGCTCCTGGCCCCGCTTCTCCACTGGTCCCTACTAGGTCCACTCTCTCCCTGCTCCATGAGCTTTTTCATACTTCTTCTTAAACCTATGTATGGATAATGCCTCCACCGTGTGTGTGTGTACTCACCTAATTCTGATTGCAAAGGTTGAGTCAGCTCCTGGCCCCGCCTCTTTGCTGGTCGATACTAGGTACACTCTCTCCTTGCTCCATGAGCTTAATCATACCTCTTCTTAAGCTGTGTATGGATCATGCCTCCACTACATTACTCTCCAGACTGCTCCACTCCCTAATAACTGTGACTGAAGACATACTTCCTAACATCCCTGTGACTCATCTGAGTTTTAACTTCCAGTTGTAACCCCGTTGTTGCTGTGTCACATCTCTGAAATATTGTCCTTATCCACCTTGTCAATTCCTGTCAGTATTTTATGTCGTTATTATGTCTCCCATAGCCCTCCTGTCCTCAAGTGTTGTCCCTTAACCTCTCCTCGTAGAACAAACCCCTCAGCTCCGGGATTTATCGTGTTGTAAACCTATCCACTTTATCTAATTTCTTGACGTGTTTGGCCAGATGTGAGTTCCATACTGGTGCTGTATACTCCAATATGGGTCTGACGTACAAGGTGTACAGTGTCGTGAATTACTCCTTACTAAGATGTCGAAATGCTGTTCTCAGGTTTGCCAGGCGCCCATATGCTGCAGCAGTTATTTAGTTGATGTGCGCCTCAGATGTGCTCTGTATGATGCTCACCTAGAGATCCTTTTCCTTGAGTGAGTGCTACCCTTTTTGACATCTTAGGCTGTACTCCGTCTGCGGTCTTCTTTGTCTTTCCCCAATCTTCATAAATTTTCACTTTGTGAGTTTAAACTCCAAGAGCCATTTGTCGGACCAGGTTTGCAGCTTGTTCAGATTCCCTTGTAGGCTTACCTGATTCTCCGCTTGTATTCTCCTCATTAACTTTACATCGTCTGCTAACAGGGACACCTCTGAGTCTATCCCTTCCGTCATGTCGTTCACATGTACAAAAAACAGCATTGGATCTAGAACTAACCCTTGTGGAACCCTACTCTGACATCTCGTCTCGTACCAACACACGTTGTTTCGTCCCTGTCAAGTATTCCTTGATTCATTGCAGTACTTTTCCTCCTATTCCTGCCTGCTCTTCTAGCTTTCCAACCAGTCTCTTGTGTGAACCGATGTGGAAAGCCTTCGTACAGCCCAAGTAGATGCAGTCTACCCATCCCTCTCTCTCCTGTCTTATTTTTGTTACCTTGTAGAACTCTCATAGGTTTGTAATGCAGGATTTCCCTTTCCTGAAGCCGTGCTCGTTGTATTGTATGAGCCCGTTCCTTTCTAGGTGCTCCACCGCTCATCTCCTGATAATCTCTATAATTTTTCATACTATACATAACATCGACACTGGCCTGCAATTTAGTGCAGCCTGTCTGTCACCTTTCTTAAAAATCGGGATTACATATGCTGTCTTCCACACCTCAGGCAGTTGCCCTGTTTCAATAGATTTATTGAAGACTCTTGTTAATGGCACACACAGTGCATCTGATCCCTCTCACAATCCAAAGCGAGTTATTATCTGTGTCCACTGCCTTTGAGGTATCTAGTTCCCCTAGCAGTTTCTTCACCTCCTCCTCAGTTGTATGCAGTGTGTCCAGCACTTGCTGGTGCACTCTACCACCTTGGGTTGCTGGAAGCCTCTCTGTCTTCACTGTGAATACCTCCCTGAATCGTGAGCTGAACTCTTCATATACTTCCTGGTCGCTCACTGTGAGCTCCCCTTCTTCCTTCCTCAACCTGATCTCCTGGTCCTTGACTGTTGTTTTTCTTCTGATGTGGCTGTATAACAACTTTGGGTCAGATTTGGCTTTTGAAGCTATGTTATTCTCGTATTGACACTGTATTCACTCCCATTCTATTCCTCATCCTTATTTCTGACATACAGATGTAAGTCACAGTTCTGTGTCTTCCTTTGCGGATGACACTCAGATCACCATGGCAGTGACCTCCATCGAAGACACTGCGAGACTCCAAGCGGATATCAACTAAATCTTCGAATGGGCCACTCAAAACAATATGAAGTTCAACGAGGAGAAATTCCAACTACTCAGATGTGGAAAACTTGAAGAAATTAAAAATGTGCCAGGGTATGCCACAAATTCTAACCATATAATAGAGCGGAAAAGTAATGTGAAGGACCTGGGAGTGATAATGTCAGAGAATCTCGGCTTCAAAGACCACAACAATGTATCTACATCATCTGCTAGGAAAATGATAGGATGGATAATGAGAACCTTCAAGACTAGGGATGCCAAGCCCATGACGATTCTCTTCAAATCGCTTGTGCTCTCTAGGCTGGAATACTGCTGTACACTAACGGCCCCTTTCAAGACTGGCGACATTGCAGACCTGGAGAGTGTACAAAGAACTTTCACGACACCCATAAGTGCGATAAGGCACCTAAACTACTGGGAACGGTTGAAGGTCCTTGATCTGTATTCCCTAGAACGCAGGCGAGAGAGATACATGATAATATACACTTGGAAGTTCCTGGAGGGACTGGTACCAAACCTGCACACAAAAATCACTCCATATGAAAGCAAAAGACTCGGCAGGAGATGCAACATTTCCCCGATGAAAAGCAGGGGCGCCACGAGTACACTGAGAGACAACACAATAAGTGTCCGGGGCCCAAGACTGTTCAATTGCCTCCCAGCATATATAAAGGGGATTACCAATAGACCCCTGGCTGTCTTCAAGAAGGCACTGGTCAGGCACCTAAAGTCAGTACCTGACCAACCGGGCTGTGGTTCGTACGTCAGCTTCCGTGCGGCCAGCAGTAACAGCCTGGTTGATCAGACCCTGATCCACCAAGAGGCCTGGTCTTAGGCCGGGCCGCGGGGGCGTTGACCCTGAAACCCTCTCCAGGTAAACTCCAGGTGCTTCTCTCCTTATTCATGAATATTCATTTCTGGGTCTGCGGCTTAACTCACTGTTTTCCTGGGTCCTTTGCCTTCTGTACTTTCTCCATGCTCTGTACACTTGTCTTAGGCCTCTCCACACCTCTGGGTAAACCATGGGCTCATGTGGTTTTCCTGTTGTTTCTGTTCCCCATTGGCACAAGCTTCTCCGCAGCCTCCCTGCCTCATACCTGTATAGTCCCCTTTTTGGAAGTTTGGCTTATCCCATCCTTCTTGTACTGCTTCACTCTGCATTGTTACCTTTACTATTTATTCAAAACTCAAGACCACGTGATTGCTAGCGCCTAGGAGCTGTTGTGGTTCAATACCCGGCACGGGTGGAAACGTTGGGTATGTTTCTTTATACCTACTGTCCCTGTTCACCAAGAAGTAGGTACCCGGGTGTTAATCGACTGGTGTAGGTGGCATCCCAGGAGGTGTTAGTAGACCATAGATAGTATTTCATAGATAGCTGAGGTTAGATAACAAGTCTTAGTCCGTAAAGTTGATCTGTGTAAAGAAAAAAAAGTTACATACAGCCTTAATGACCGCTTAGTCGATACTTTACACTCTATTAAACAACATACATCAAGAATATATTCACGGAGAAGTATGTGTCAGTATATATTCTTGACTAGTGGCAGCTCATATGCAGAATTAATGCCCGTCCCTTTTAAGCGAGGTTGTTTGATGCTGGTGAAGGGCTCTTAATCCGAAGAATTAGAGCCATTCTCATTTCCTTGGATCGAACTTGTTGCTTTCCATTTACGAAGGAAGACGAACGCAAAATACTGTGACTGGAGCAATACACATAACCCGCACATAGGAAAAAGAACCTTAATGACGACATTGCGGTCCGACTTGGGCCATTAACTAGTCACACTAGTTAATGGTCCAAGTCGGACCGAAACGTCGTCATAAAGTTTCTTTCTACGTGCTGGTTATTTATGTATCTTTCCCGAAGACGTTATATGACCACAACGGGATTAGCGCCGCCAACGTGAAATACATAACAAAAAGAAACTGTAGTGCTCTGCAACAGTCGAAATGGAAGACTTGACTTGTCTTCGGGGACGGTGACCCCCGAAACACCCTCCAGGAAATCCCCTCCGGGTACACAAGCGCTGTGTCACGAATGAATTTTCATTCGGAACGAAATGTTGGTTTACAATGTTGATCACTGCCTCCACTGACGAAAATATTGCCCCGTATACGCTTAGAAGAAAAATTTATTCAGATTATGAATAAGGGGGATGAGTGTCGATGGTGACGCGACAAACCTGTGAGGGTCCGTCAGCGTATGGGAAATTAGAGAGAAACAAGTTCGAAAGAAGATGACTTATAACCGGCCCGCCAGTGTGATTTTTGACTCTCATGGCCAACCTAGCAGAGCAGGCTTTCGTGTTCCGAGACCCCGTATCCTAAGTCCCAGGCTCCTGGTGCTCCGTATGTCAGGTCCCAGGCTCCTGGTGCTCCGTATGTCAGGTCCCAGGCTCCTGGTGCTCCGTAAGCTAGGTCCCAGGCTCCTGGTGTTCTGT